GGAAGTCATGCCACTCTTAAAGCGCTGAATCCTGTATATTCTTGTCCGGTGTGGATGCTGGGGCGTGTCATAGGGGCTAGACTTGGCGCGATGCCAGCCACTTGTCCACCATTTGCTGAAGCGGGTGAGCGACAGCAATTGGTGGAAAACGGGCTGGCTTTGCGCTAAACCCTGCCCCACGAAACGCCCCAGCATCCACAGCGAAGAAGACTGTATTTAAAACTTTAGACGTCATGGCGGACTCGTCCTAATCAATAAAAATCTTCAAAATTTCTACCTACCAGACCGATATCCAGGTTGTGAACGTTTTCCGATAGGATTGGGAGGGGTTTACGTGGCGGGTCATTTAGCGCTGTTCGCACGTAAGAGAGATCCGATTGCGCCAATTGAAAGGTTTTCCTTCAGTTGCGTAACAAAGGGTCAGCGATGTCGCGCAAGTGGGCGTCAGCGGCGAAAGCGTTATTCCTTTCACTTCCTTCCGTTCTCATCCAGAAGCGTGCTATCTTGCTGTCTCTGCGTCTCTACCGGCTCTCAACTCCCCATGATCTCCAATCGATTGCAGCGAACGCGACACGCTCAGAGCGCGAAGTCGCGTCATCGCGTTGTGACCTCTTACTGTACACCCGTCTCCTCCCACAAATTCAACATTGAAAATTGATTTTTGACATATTTTCAGCGTGAAACTCAGCTACTTCTCGATCATCTTTCCATCCGACTGCTTTCGCTCCCACAGATCACCGTGCTACCAGGTGTACCGGCATGTCTTCGGCACGAGCGGACTGAAAATGAAGTGGATAGTGAAACGTTTGGAGCGAGCGCATATCTCAGTCAGAAGGTCAGCCGGAGTTTCATTGGTTTTATTGATCGATTACATGCTTCCTTGGGTTATTCAGGCCAATTTCTTGAAGTTGAAGGCAGATATCGTGTAGGTAATCCTAGTTTTCAACCGTTCTGTTGGGGCTCCTCACTCTGCTTCAACTCTATCACCCTCAGTCTCGAGCCACGCCCAGTTTGAAATAGCTCCGCCCACTCCCTTTTTATCGATCGTTTTTAGTTCCTTTTTTGTTTCTCTTTCTTAGAGGTGCAGGGGTAGAGCAACATCTCAATCTCAGGCAGCGTTCGGACTTCGCGATGACAGCGCTTGGATCGCGCGTTCGACGCGATCGATGCAGTAGAAAGCATGCGCATCGATCGCGCCCGAAGCGCTGCCGTCGCGAAGTCTGAACGCTGCCTTACGCTTTGGCCTCCACAACCAGACCACGTCGTATGTTGGGGAATCCCCAGCGGGGAGAGGTCGTGTTTGGTCGCTGGGCGGGAGGGTGTCGTACTTGGTATTAGAAAGTTTTTTTTGGTAAAGAACGTTTCTTGTTCTTAAGCACGCAGTAAGGGGGCACGGTCGTATTCTCTTGTTGTTGGGGGAGAGGGGTCGCAATTTCCGGACTTTTTCCCAGCGGCAGGACGTGCACCGCCAACGGCTACCGCCTAAAAAATAGGAACATGGTAGAGGTGCTGTCTACGCTGCTTGGATGGGCGGAGACAGTCAACCACTGCTCCTGGTAAGCCCGCTCTATCGTTTAAGCAGGACAAGCGCACAGTGGTGAGGGCAAAATGGATGACTTTCTCCGCCCATACGGTCTGCATCGACCGTGTATATGAAGCCATATGGCTCGCCGATTCAGCTGTTGCGAGTATCGATGATGTCGATTTGTCTGCTTTTCTTTCTTGAAGCTCCTGGGGCTCCATTAGGCAGCGTTCAGACTTCGCGACGGCAGCGCTTCGGTCGCGCGTTTGACGCGATCGATACGCATGCTTTCGACTGCATCGATCGCGTCGAACGCGCGACCGAAGCGCTGCCGTCGCGAAGTCTGAACGCTGCCTTAGGACTGAAGCATCGTTCACCGTTTTCTTTTCGAATTCAGTGGCAGGGAGCATGGACTGATAACGTACGAGAATTAGGATGTGGTTGTTAGGAAGCTTCTCCCAGTTCGCCTTCCACTCTCAGCTTTGCTTTTTAGTTCTCCACCTTAATAATTGGCAGGAAACTGGACTGTGCAGTTATGATCCCTGCTAACGATAGTGTGTGTGATGCGACGTGGGTCGGAGTGCAGCCAGGGCCACGTTTTTCCACCAACGATTCCATTCTGAGCCCGCTACAATTGGTGGGAAATCTAATCTGGCTACGCTCCAAGCCACGCCCCCGTCACACACCCTATCGTTTGCAGGGATCATGACTGTAATTTATATCTGCCTGGGGATTGACTACGGTATAATTTCGCTCTATACTTTCGGGTTGGCTTCTTCATGCTTTCAAATTCTGATTTGCATCTGTACCTTATATCAAATCGATATATCGATTGACTCAGAGTGGAGAAGAACCGGGGATAAAACTCGAACGTGACTATTCGCTAGAGGAACTCTATCAGCTCCTAGATGATGTACAAAATGAACTCGACAGTATGCGATCGAATCCGGAAGAGGTACGTTGGCTGAAGTTTTTATTGGATTTTCATTTGCCCATTTTTCCAAAATTTTCCCGCGTTTTCTGGTTACTTACATATTTTTGTTGCCTTCCTCCTTCTCTTTATATCCTTTTTTTACATCGTTTATCAGTTAGATCATCAGACGCTGTTCGGCTTGGAGGGGGCGTTTTCTATTTCGCCAATTCCTTTTGTGAATGCATGATAAATAACAAGTTGGTTTTGGTGAGACCTCTAAAGTTCTGTGAAACTGCGAAAATGTGCAAGAGAGCCACATTGGTCACATAGATTTACAGGGCTTCACTAGGTATCCTGCACAACCTTTAGGCCCTGGTGCGAATGCCGCGCTCGTGTCGCTTTCATCGCATCTACGCAATTCAGATCTCTTGTACAAAATCCGGCGGTATTGAGGGGGGGGGTGGGATCTCGCACATTTCGCTCGAATAATTTTACTTGTTCATGACTAACAGGTTGCATTTTCATTAAACCTGTAAAGTTTTGTGAAGCTGCAGAATGGTAGCACAAATGGGACTATGATGACACGATTCACAAGGTGGCCAGTACAGGCTCTGATGGGTAGCATTTGTCCCGCCCCCCCCCAAGCCGAACTGCGCTCAAATCCTTATCTTCCCAGTGGCTCCATTATTCCATAAACATCACTACAAACCATCATTTTCCCTTCAACCCCGTTTTCCAGAATATGGGCTCTATTTTATCGAAACTCGTCCTCGGAGGTTGGGTTGGCTAGTTCATTCTTGCGATGGTGCACCCCCCCCCCCACACGAATATCCTACCGGTTTCGTGCGAAAACAGCCACAACTGGCGTTAGGGCTGCCAGCACCCGTGGTAACCCTACCTTCTTTTCTATATGCCTATTGATTTTCTCCATTTTCCAATTGTTAAAACTTTCAGTTTTTTTTTGAACGGACTGTCAAAGCGGTAACTGACCTCAGTACCTTTGCAGGGTCTACGAAGCCACTATATCGAGCGGTTGACGCGGCTTGAAAAGCAAATGCAGAACTTCCACGAGTGCATCTCCCAAAAGCTGAGTGCTGAGAATGTGGGTGTGGCGACGAGAAATAACGGTGACGAAGAAGTTGGCGACGCTATCGCCAGCGTTTTAGCGCCATACCGCGACGAATCAGGTCAGTCAAACCTGCAGACTTATCTGTTGAATTGCGGAGTACTCGTCAACCAGGGCACAACATTCGTTGCGGATTTTGGGTTCGTACGACCCCCCCCCCCCAGTTCTCTCCTCTGATATGATCGAGCTGTCGAGGGGGAGGGATGGAGAGGGGGGGTCTATACAGCACATGTGAAACAGGAAAAATCGTGGAAAATCAACAACCGGGACATTTTCTCCAACACCGTATATTCGACCCACCCTCTCTCCCAGTGGCCATAAGGCCCCCTCCCTGTAGGGAGAATCCGCACGATGATGTGCCCACGTCAGCCACACGTGTGATGTCACGCGCGCGCCGTGCGGATGTGCCAGTAACAGCGCACGAATTATTGCAAAACAAGTAAGTGCTGCGTAGGTCAAGTTCTGATATCAGGAGAAAATAAAAGGGGGATACCAGCTGGGAAGAATCACTAGGAACTTGTCTTACTGCTGATGTTCCATCTTCGCCGCAAAAAGCGTTATCACTGAAGTCATTCAGGGCGTGTCAACGGCGCGTGTCTTTTGGAGTAGTGCCAGAATGTTTCCCACCATTCATTGAGCGCCCGAAGTCGCCACTTTCGATGGGAAATAGGCGAGCGCTCGCCTTATCCTATGGCCCGCTGACCTACCCCTACTGGAGAAGGGACGACGACTGCTGCGTACTCCTGAGCCGATTCACCTCTCAAATACATGAGCCTCCCCCCGCCCACAACCGCGCCTATTGTTCAGCTCAGAAATGACTGTGCCGAAGTTGAACTTGTAGCGTCCTGCTGCCACAGACTTGATCAGAGATTCGAAGCCTGCCATCGAAAGGACGGGTCCATCCATATATCCAATAAGATCTTACTAAATGATCAAAGTATTGATCAATTCTCGCATTTTGTTGATTTCCTGATTGGTTTTTAAAAAGTGAATATTTCAGGGGCATCAGGCTCGCGACGGTTCAGCCGTGAGTACTCTCGGACGGAAACTTCGTCGACGAGTCGGAAAAGCTCTAGAGCTTCGATCTAGTCTCATTGTTTGCCCTTTTATATTACTCACTTCCTGGTGTTACTCTCTCACAGTATTTTGGAAAAGAAGTAGGGATCCCGCGGAAATCCCGACAGTAGATTGGGAGTTGAAAGATAATAGGTGGGCTATTCTGGAGGATCTATTTCTTGCTCGGAATCGGCACAGGATTTCCACACGCAGAACTCTTCTTGCGTTCGTCCTCAGCTCCCATGGAAGCCCATCAATTGATCGCTATATGGGAAGCTCGATCTATCGATCGATCAATATCTGGGTAGCTCTCACAGTTTCTCTAGAGATTTTATTGACTACTGATGAGACCAAGTTAGCTTAATGCCTGTACTTGTATGCCAAATGATTTTTCCTGCACTGTGAGACCGCGTTCAGACTTCGCGATCGCGCGATCCAATCGAGCAATCCGATCGCGCGATCGCAATTCCGAACACGGTCCCAATCGATTATCGATTTTTTCACAACCAGGATTTTTCTTGTGATATTATGTTGTTTCAAGCTTACCTATTGTGTACAAAGTCCTATTGAATTCCTTCATACTGTCACTTTTCGCTTGTTTCATGGCGGTCTCATGCGCGGTGTTCACTGATTGATTTATTGATTTGTTATCGATTTGCCACTGATTTGTAGTCTCGAAGGCTGCCTGGTCTCCAAATGATATGAACGGGTTCCGTGGAGCTTAATATACTCGGAAAAATGCTGATATTTGCCTCTCGTTAACCTTTGAGCTATGTGTTGGACCACTCTCTATTGCTCCACGTGCATTCCGTAGATATTGATCGATTAGCCAACACTTGGCTCAACGGAAATTTCACTGCTTTTCACATATCATTGTATTTGTTAATATGTATTCACTTTGCCAAAGTAAACGCTAAATTTCTGACCGTTGTGGTGACGTTGTAATTGATGGATAGTTGGCGCTCTCTAGGACGCCTCCATCTGCTGGATCAAACCCAAAATTCTTATAGAAAATGAACAAAATTGGTGTGTTGTTGGAAAGGACCCATAGTCCTGCAATCATTTCTAGCATTCTAACTGAAGACAAACGCATGGCGCAACACCACCAATCGAGAATAGGCCAAGGCGCAGAGTACTGAAAGCGGAAGCCTTGTAGAATATCAAAGAGTTAAGGCTTGGATAGCACGGTACCTGCTGATTCCAAAAGGCACCATCTCGAACGGGAAGGTACGCGACCGCACGCGCCATTATCGCGCGGATAGCTGCGGGAGGTGCTGCTGTGTCAGAAATAGTTATGAAGTTGACACAGTGTGAATAACCCCCTCATGCGCGACAGAATGCGTGATAGGGAGACGGGCAAGAGAGAGGGTAATTTGCCGCTCCGCCGCACGCGGCGATGGGCGTGGCGCTTTTTTAACTCGTTTTTGGAGCACCGGGCTTCATGTAGACCCCGTCATCGTAGACATGACTATTTTCGGTTCTGAATTGCCTGTTGTCGCCATCTACTACCTGGAACCATCGTCATTTGCGGGCGCGACGTCGCACGCGACGCCACCAGCGCGGCGAATCACTTCTTTTGTCATATACCCTGCGTGATAACCCGATAGTCCCACGGACGACTCCGGGGTTACGCGCCCGCACGCGGCATTGTAGCAGCTATGAAGTTGACACTGAGTGACTGGTGCGACATGAAGCACGCTATAAACTGTTGATTCCTCGGATAAGCCGCTCCGCAACCGCAGCAGTGCTATGCGGAGAACAGAGTGCTCATTGATCGTGAAGTTCTGCAACTGATTACTCACGCAGTGCACCACCCGTCATAACCTCTTAAAGGCATAGGGCACGATAGTTCGGTACTGGTCTCAAATGTGGTAGGGGTGCTATATAGGGGGAATGGCGAAAAAGCGAAGTGAAACCGTCAAAAACATGCAGGAAAGCTTTTGTTCTACACGACTCAGCAAGCGGGAGACGGGCAAGAGAATCGTGGTTTGCCGCTCGGCCGCGGGCGGCGATCGGCGCGGCGCGGCGTCTTTTAACTCGTGTTAACCTGTCGATGGAGCACCGGACTTCATGTAGACCCCGTCATCGTAGACATTCATGACTATTTTCGGTTCTGAATTGCCTGTTGTCGCCATCTACTACCTGGAACCATCGTCATTTGCGGGCGCGACGTCGCACGCGACGCCCATCAGCGCGGCGAATTACGATTCTCTTGTCACATCCCCTCAACAAACAATTTCGGGCGAGTTTCCCATTGACAACGTCCAATAATCACTACGGTGAATACAGCCGCATGTATGTTGTATACGACGTCCCCCATAGCTTCGACCGCTACAGCTGCTAATATGATCGAAGCTGAAAGGTAATGTCTACAGTTCTATGTCTGAGATGCCGGCTTATATATGAAGGAGGCCGCGATCCAACAATTTTGGTGGGGCCTGCCTGTAGCCTACTTTTACTTGCAAACTATGATAACCGCTCGAATCCTGGGGCTGCGTTCATACTTCGCGTGTGCCAGCGTTTTCGAACGGGCGGGAGAGTAGAAAACAGCCGGCCGCGAGAAGTTGCTGGGCGCTGACGCAAAGGTATGAATGAAGCCTGTCATCTAAAAGTCGGACATCTTTTCTGAACGAATGACAAGGGAAGCGATCGGAA